ATGAGAGTCTTTTCTTTCTTATCCTTTCAACTCAATCTCTAAATATGGCAAGTTCATGATTTTCATAACTGGCAAGTACTTTAATCCTTCACAATTTGAACCATGGACCTGTTCCTTTTCTGCTTCATTTCACTCATCTGTCTGTAATCTCCCTAGAAAGCACAGCAATTCATGAGCTATCTTCAGCCCATTCTAGGTGTCAATCTTCTTCATTTCCTTCTTCAGGCATTTGTGAGATTATTCCTTCTCCCAAGAGTTTATTATCACTTTTTCACCATGTTTGGGCCTGGTATTCCACCTCCGTAGTGCTGCTAGATGTGCTACATACCACATACTTTACATACAGCTGCTCGTGTTCACTGTTGTATCAGATTGCATGCTTTCTGTGACTTCTGCTGCACTTGTAGTGTATTCCAAGTCAGTGGCTGTTTTGTTTTGGGAAGGGATTTATGTCCTCACATTATCCTTTTTTTGTCCTTTCCACCACTCTTTCAAGTCTTTCATAGACCAATAATTCTTTATTGCACAGTTTATTTTGTCGGCAGGAGTTGTATTTTCTGAACTATTAGGTGAGGATTTTAACCTTATTGACAATAGCTGCACCAAAACATAAGATAGAACTCTCACCATGAGTAGACACTTCAGATGATCTGAGAGAAAGTCTGTTGATCGGTGAGCCAGTGACTCTAGAAAGATTGAAATTCCAAGACACTTTTTTTTGGTATGGAACTCCTTTACAGGAAACATACAGTAGCTCCTAATTTTTTATTTTTATCATTTTGTGTTTTCAATGACAACTGTATTGTATATATAGGAACAATGTATGAATAAAGACTTCTGCTCTTCTAGTAGTAGTTGTTCCAGAGGTGACGCGAGAGGAGGGAGGCTGTTGGGTCACGTGCCCACCCAGTTTTCTGCCAGGTTTATATTTTTGTTTCTTTTGGGGGTGGGGGGTTTGGGTTCAAAATACGTGCCCTTCCCCATCTACAGTTACACATAGTCTCTGTGACCTCAAAAGAAAGGCATCCTTAGACATAAGCCAACTGCTACCCTCAGTAGATTCATAATGTAAAAATTCAGTGGAGTTTGTGGCATTGAACCTACTGTTTTATATTTTTCGCAGAACAAAAAGGAGGTTTGTGACCTATTTTTGTCTGTTTCTGGTTTGGAATGCCTTCATGCCATGAAACATATTCCTGGGCCAGGAAAAAAAAACCACCACAGCCAGGGATGCTGGAGGACCAAAAGAGGAAGTTTTCAGCTGAGTCTTAGAATTTTTTCTCTGTGAATACAAGCCACATTACAGAGCTTTGGGTCTGCCCACTGTTACTCTCAAGTTAAGTTCTTTGCAAATATGCATTGGAGCACTATCAAAAGAGAGTATCCTGGTGTAATACAAAATAATGGAAGCCTGAGAGAGACAGAAAGGTAAGTTAGTAGGAGGTGAAGACTCCTACGCGGTAATAATGGAAGAAGAGGGTGTGACTGATGATACAGAGAATGGCAAGGAGATAATGGATTAGTAAAACCTGTTTCTGATGTGTCTGACTCCATGAGTGTGTGCAATTTTAACTGTCAGCTTATTACCCTGATGAGCACATAATTGATATGCTGTAGGATGTGTTCTACCTGAGAGCAATATACTGCTTTAAATAATATTAATATTTAGCATTCATAAGGTGCTTGTCATCTGTAAAGCACTCTACAACCAACTAATTGATCCTCACAGTCCTCAGAGAGTCAAGTAGCGAAATATCATCCTTATTTCACAGTCTGGGGAATGCAGCTCTGAAGGGTAAGTGACTTGCACAAGGCCACACAAGGAGTGACTGGCAAAGCTATGATTGTAACTCAGGACTGGGATTCTAACTTTGAGATTTTGCTTCCTCTTGGCCCCTTTTGGGATGGGATATGATGCATTCAACACGATAGCATTGATGGGGTTATTACTACGTGGTGATGCTTATGTCAACAGCTGGTGGTTTGCCACATTTCACATTGGCTCACTGCCTTAAAAATTAAAAATGAACGCTACACCTCTTGTAAGAGGGAATTAAGTGGACAGAAGCACAAGGAACTTCAGCATTTAATCTTTGAGTATATTTTTCTAAAAGAGCATCTGGTTTTTATGGCGATCACATCACATCCATGCATGACTTTTTAGGCCTTTCCCCTTGATCTCTAGTGTTCAGCTTACCAAGATGGAACTAGCATAACTGCGCCCAGGAACATAATAAGTTCTGTCTTTTGGGGCTGTCCTTAAAATGTTGATAGGGTTTTTTGGAGATGTGACAGGTGAGGTTATCCCTTATCATTATTATGCTATAGTCTCTTTGGATCAGCCATATAACTCTACTGCTAGCCAGAGCTGCTGCACAGGAACTTTTCCCTCCACTTCTATTTGAGGCATGGAGTTCTTTCCTCAGTCTCCCTGGCCAACTAACCCTTCTCGGGAGGTCAGTGTATAGAGTTAAAAGGCATTATTCCTCTTGGCATGATGTCATATCCTTCCCTTGCCAGATCAGTTGTGCCAGCAGCGGAACCTTTTGCACAGAGAAATTAGACTCTCCTGGGATCTACCATGCATTCTTGAGCGCTGCACAGAAGCCTACAGTTGGCTTGAAAAAGCACAAGTTTAATACACAAACATGCTGATAGTTTAATATATTGGTAGGAAGGCCTGATACAGGACTGCAATGCCAACATCGTTGTCTGCCATGTGCACAAATTCACAAATTCACATGTACAAATCTGCAAAGCAGTGGAACTTTGGTCCTCTCAAATGTGTTTAATTTTGCCTTTCCAGTACCTGTACTGACATCTGCTTTGGTGAATGCAGTTACATATCCTTACACATGTAACAGCTGAAGTGCTATCCACTTAAATTGGATAATTTTTGGACAGACAAAAGCATTTCTGGATGATAGTGAATATTATGAATAAAGGATATTTTAATTATCTGAGTTCATAAATCATAGTGCAATTTATACTGGATATTGGACATTTTGTGAGGACAGACATTGAGTAATCATACAGACTTATAGGAGAGAAAGAAGACAGGCAATAAGACAATGACATCTATATGCTAGCATTTTGACACTTCAACTTACATTCAGTACATATTTGGAGAAAGAGTGCAAATTCCTAGAAGAAATTCCTAGAAGAAAACATTATTCATACTACTTTATTTGCATAAATCAGAGTCTAACTTAATAAATTTCTCCTTCTACTTCATCCTATGTCCTCATAAAACTTGTCTTACTCATAATATTTTCATCTATCTAGTGAAATTTGCTTGATTGCACTCCACACAGTGACTTCGATTTTCCACCTAAGTGATTAAGACTTAAGTAAGTTCAACTCTTCCCATTAAAGCAAGTACCTATGTGTGGGTTTCCACACTATTTGCTGTCAGATATAAAAACAGGTCTGGAGGTCAAAAAGTAAAGCAACAATCTGAGATTAGTGGTAATGTCACAGCAGCGTATTACACCAGCTATCTATTGCTAGTCTAGAAAGAAACTGTAGAGTACTCAGCCAATGAAACTAAAATGTACTTGACAGCAGATTTTTCAAGTTACTATGTATGTAATAAATCACACCTGCTGTTTACAGCTAAGCTCTTGGCATTGCAAAAATACTTTTGCTCCAAATTTTAAAGCGTGGTCATGAATAAAATTCTGAAGACCTTGCTCAAACAACGCTTCTCGTTGAAATCAATAGTCAAGACTGAGTGAAAACTGTGTAAGAACTTCAGAATTTGGCCCCACATGCAGCAGCAACCTTCTACCTTTAGAACAGTGGCTCCCAACCTTTTTGGATTATAGCCCCAAAATTTGTGATGGAGTAATGGCTGCTTCACGGTTTAGGGCCCCTCATGTCCTCCCCTGGTGTGGTTGCCACATCTCACCTTCTTCTCTCCACTCCCACATTTTCTCTTTGATGCTGTTTTTCTCCAGCCTTTCCCCTCCCTCCACCATCAGAACTTCTTCTTTTCTACATATTTTCACAGATTTTGCTTTCCATTTTTATTTTATCTCTACTCTTGCCTCTCCCTGCTTCACCTTCTTCCACACTTTTACGGTCTCATTTTCCCCTTCCTCTTCTGTACCTGGTGGCTTTTCTTCCCTACCACACACTTCTCAGTTACCAAAAGGATCCATGCTGGGTGGAGGAAGCAAATGGCTCCTGTGTGAGGCCTACGGGTTGCAATGGGAGCACTGACATGGCACATAAAAGGGCAGCCTGCGTGAAGAGAGTGTGCAGGGAAGCTGGGTTGCCTATAAAGCTCCCAGCTGCTCTCTACTGCTGGGATTTAGGGTAAGTCTACACATGGAGCAGCAAGTGTAAATTCCAGCTCAAGAAGACATACCTGGACTAGCTCTGATCAAGCTAGTGTGCTAAAAATAGAATGCAGCCGTAGCAGCATGAGTGGCGGGAGGGGCTAGCCAGCCTGAGTACATGACAGGTTTAGACGGTAATGCTAGTGTCTTGGACAGGTACTGGGTAGTGTCTTGGACAGCCAGCCTCTCCCTGCCATTCGAGCTGGGGTGGCTACACTCTGTTTATAGACCACTAGCTCAATCAGGTGCTATGTGAGTAACTACAGGACCCGGGAAAGAGGAAGCCCTTGGAGATCAGAGGCTCCCTTTCTTTAATGAGTTTCACTGTCAGTGGTCCAGGCTGAGTGTCACATACAGTCACATGCATCTAGAACCCCATGCTCCTTCTCCAGAGTGCTCCTATACCCCTCTCTGTGGATTAAAACTGAGTTCAGTCCTCAATCTCCTAGAGAAGACATTGAGAACTGCTTGGCATTTGGCACTTGTGAAAAACCAGACCATTTATTTAGATCTAGATTTAGGCTCCCATTTTTGAAAATCTTGCCCCCTGAGTCTACTCGGTTTTTTAGTAGAAGAACTTTTCTCCACAATAGAATGAATTAGGATATACAGGGAACAACAGATAAAGCAAAATAGAGAGAGCAAATAACAATTTACCTCCACTTCACATCCATATTCAGAGCCGTCCAGGAGCGTCACTTTGCACTGCATGTTTTTCGGCTTTTTAACAATCTTTAGAGGAGATCTGGAGAGTTTGCTAGATGAGGATTTTTGAGAGAGCTTGTCGTCTTCAAACTGCTGGTATTCCAGCTGTTTTGCAGCAGCAGCAGCAAACTCCCGTTCTCGGTCAGTGACCTGTGAAGAGCAAATGGGAAGATTAAGTTTCAATTTCAGATTAAAATAGTGGCTGTACAATGCAGCCATTCAGAATCAAAATGCACAACTGGCTTTCATCTTATGGACAGACTATTCACCACTAACAGTTACCCAGCTGCAGCATACAAAAAAGAACTTCATCTTTATTGTTTGGGAAAGCCTGCTTTAGTCAATAAAACAACTGTGTGACTTCCTCTAACTGCCACTTTGAAAGATAAATATATGGCTGGGAAAACCCACTGCAGTAGTGTTATTTTGGGTTTATCCCTGGGTCAGCATTTAAGACATCTATAAAGCTGTTATGATGCAATATTGATTGTGGTCCTTTCTCCTGGAACAGATTGTCAGAGCCACTCTAACCTTCATATAGCCACCTTTAATAGTAAATGCATTACATCAGTTGAAGCTCCATTCCAGTAATGGTTACCTCTATAACCAGTTGTGCCCCTGCTAGCCTCCAGACAAAATTTTGACAACAAAAGCATAGTAATACCTAAGCTAAAGTATAAAATATTAATCTTTTAGTCATCTCACTACCATGAAAAAAAAATGCATCTGATTTGGCTCTGAACAAATTCAATATAATCAGCAGCCAGCAGCACTGAAATTCATCACAATTTAATCCTCTGAGTCTGTTTTCCTTCAGTGCAACAAGACTTCATGAGACTGGATCAAATCTGTCCAAAAGCTTTAATCTGCTTTCAGACCAAACAGTCCTGCGTCACACTGGTAGTGCACAAGACTGTACGGCACACACTGCATCACCACAATATTCCACCTAAATGCAGGGATCTTTCCCTGAGGAATCTCCTGGAAAAAGGTTTCCCAAACATTAGTTTTCCTTCTTTATTCTGTTTGAAGGGGAGAAGGCACTTAGGGCCGGATACATGTCAAGTGATCTAAGCCTGCAAATATAGTGCTCAGTTGTGGTTTTGCTACAGCCCCATGGCAAGGGGCAGAGCATAGCAATGCTGTCCCAGGAGCAGATGGGGAACCAGATTGTGAGGACAGTCACAATCTGGTCCTGGGTTCCCCGCTTCCTCCAGGCAGGAACTAAAAGAGACCAGCCCTATATCTGGCTCACATTATTTCCCCTCCTGTGCCTGTTTAAATACACTGTCTGGTGTACTATGTTACCATGCCCCTGTCTGCTAATTCACACCTCATCCATATGCAGAGACTGGTCTCCCCGTGGGAGTAAGGCAGTGCCTTATGCCTCTTGCTTCCCTTTGTGGGAGCACAGTAAGGGTCACGGTCTGGCCCTCATCTTGGAGCAGAAAGCAAGAAGGAGAGTCAGTCTAGGAAGATATAAAAAGGAATAGAGACGCCTCTTTCAAAATCCAGCACATCCTCTTAACTGCAATAAAACATGCTGGGGGCGGGCAGGGGATGACAATGGAAAACAATCCCTGCTATCTCTGCTGGATCTCCTGTCTTAGCTTAGCTACATATTAGTTGAGCGCTTTCTCTTTCAGGCACGTAGGGGCAAGAACCTCAACTCCCCCTGAAGCTAATGGGCGATGACAGCATTTAGTGCGCCATGGGATTAGGGCCTCGTAGAGTAATTAATGTCCATAGTGCTCATGGTGTGTAGATGAAGGACAGCTTTGGAGGGTGGAGGATGGGGATGAACATCCCTTAAGAAGGCAGGTAAGTTGTTCAAAAGGAAAGACCGACGATAACAAAAGCAGAAGAGATTGCTGTTTTAAGAGTAAGAGGCATCTTCAATCAGAAAGAACTCCCAGACCTCCTCCTTATGGGTTGTTGATTTGTTTCACTGAAACCTGCAACAGACGTTAATTTCTCTACATATGCATACAAGAGGTGTCACTGGTATTATTTTGTTGGACTAATCAAGTAGACCCAAACGAAACTAAATGAAATCTGTCCAAGGTTAGAATCACAAAGGATTTTCTATAATTTGTACAGAGCACAAAAACATGCCAGGAACTATTAGAGAGGGCCCCAAAACGGTGATGACATGTCCATGCATTGAAATGATTTCAAAGTGAATTAAGCCTCCTCCTCTTAAAGAAACTTGACATTCTGTTGGTGCTGTTATCTAGGGCAAAAGCAACCACTAAGAAGCAACCGGATTCACTAGGTTATTTTGAATTTTGCATGCATAGGTGCATTCTCTCCTGAGCCACATTCTCCTCACGGCCCATTTATGCTGTATTTTTGGAGCATTTCAATGCCACGGCTTGCCATGCCATCAACATCTAATAGAGCGGAAGTTGCTTCAGGGTTGTTGTTGGAACATAATTTTTGCAGTTACAGCATTAGTGATACAGACAGAAAAGCTGAACAGCAGCAGGGCTGTCTTCTGATCATATAATTTGGGCATTGTTCAAGCAATTTACTGCCAGTTTGGGGATTCAGAGTCAGTGAATAAATAAGGAGTTTTGTACTAAAATGTTTTACTTTTGAATCTTTCAGGGGTGGGCGTGTATGTGGTGTTTAGTTTGATATATCCCCATTTCATTTTCATGGGTTTCATTTCGGCTTGTTGGCTTTAGAAGCTGAGAGAGGACAGTCAAATCCCAGAAATCCTCTGGATATTGGTCTGGTATAATTGGGGATCTGTTTATGAAGTCTTTCACCCTCCAAGAATTTGGTGGATTTACTAAATAGATTAGTTCAGAAGGGAACACAGTTTGGAAATCCCAAAACATACATGTGTGAAGAAGTAGTAACATTTTTTTCCAGTCGCTGTGAAGTCAGCAGGAGTTCAGTGCTATTCTCTGCAGTGAAAGGGTCATCAACACAGAAGATTAAAAATAATAGTGGAAGACTGGGAGAGAGGACAAGGAAAAGTGAAGCATCTAAGAGAAGACCCACAGCCCTGGGAGTCTGATATATGATAGTCACGTAGAGTAATAAAGGAGGAGTCAGAGGGAGAGTCACGTTTCTGTGAGAACCAGGAGATGGAGAGCGTGCGGGAGAGAGATCATGAACTGCCGTTGGTTTGGAAGATTTGTGTTACAGTTGCATTCAGCTGGTGAGAAGGGGCCCTCAAACGGGCAATTCAAATAAAAACATGTGAATATTTACATTGCCGTGGTCATTTGAACATGCAATTGCCGTGCTTATGGATCTGTCTGAACATCTGAAGTGCTTATTTCATTAAGGCACACAAAGTACAGTGTGCACCACATGCTTCAAAATAATTTCTAATTTCCTTATTGAAAACAATGTACACACCAAGCTAGAAGTTTTTAAACAAATCCCTTTTAAAATGAGACATCAAAAATACTTTGGACAGTTTTTCAAGTATATTTTTCATACTTGCTTAACTCAAAAACAGCTGAACAGATTTTCTTCAAAGAACAGAGGCTTCCTCTTCATTTGCCAGGCCACCCTGCTCTGTCTTCCCCTGAGTCCCACCATCTCAAGGAGCCTGTAGGAGCTGCTTCTGCCTCTTCTCCATGCCCAAATTCCTTCTAAATGGCATGCAGTGAAGGGCTAGTCATCAAATCATCACATGACTTTTTGGCCTTAAGTGGTGCTACTGGATTGGGTATATTAAAAGGTCCAGCTACATGGGTATGAACCATTTATAGCACTAGAGGAGGCCAACTATAAAGTTTTTTCTGTCCCTCAAGCAAGATATTGGTGAGATTCTGCTTGAGTTAGGCTCAATGTTTTGTTGATGCTGCTTTACAGGTACCCTTTTTGGTTGAAGTTTCTGCTGCCTGCACCAGGTAGAGCTGAGCAACATATTTAAGAATGACAAAATATTTCCCTTCCTTGGAAGATTGGGCTCTCTCTCCTTCTTTGGTGCATTGGAAGAATGCTGTACTGGTAGAGCTGCGAGGGATTTGGAATTTTCATACCGTGAGAAATTCCAGCATTTGTTTTTATCCCAAATTGGGACCAAAAGTTGAAGTTGCAAAAATGTTTGTGGAATGAAAATTCTGAAAAATGTTGATTCCGAAATTTAAACACAAAAAGCTTTTCAACAGTCCCAAAATCTGTTCTAGTTTGGTTTGTTGAAATTACCCAACATGTTTTGTTTTGAGTCATTTCCACATAAAACTGCATTTTCCCATTGTAGCACATTGCTTTATGGGAGCTGCAGTTCAGAAACCCGAAGCCCCCATTTTCCCCTAGGGGCCTGGTTGGATTACATCTCTCATGATGCACCCACAGTCATGCGACTCCCATTACGCATCACACATAGCTTGGTCAGAGGGCAATTTTCATTGCATTATAGGAGAGAAAAGGCCTGAACTACAACTCCCATAAAGGAATGCACTGATAAGAAAATGCAATTTAATGATTTACTGAACTGATTCTAAATTAAAAATGTCAGGGCAGTTCAACAAATGAAGTATTTCAATTTGGGTTGAACCAAATTTCCTGATGAAAAAATATCAAAAATATATTAGCAAAATCAAGATATTCCCCAGAAAATGTTGATTTTTGTGGAAACTACATTGTCCATTGAAAAATCATTTTGATGGAAAATTCCCCAACCAGATCTATTTATTGGTAAGTTTCAAGGTGCCTGGATTTATGGATGTATGTGATGGAAACCTGGATTAACTATAGAGGCCATCAGAGTGGGAGAATTGTCATAGCTGGGTTGGTGGAGCCCTAAAGTGACAGATTTGGGCCAGTATTCACAAACTGGACAAGAAATGGATAATTAAACGGACCTCATCTGGTGGTAAGAACATTGTGAGGATAGGAAGGGAGTCAGGGCTTGGTACAAGTCAGAGGACTCCACAGGGCCATTTCGGATGTGCAGTTTGAGGATGTCATCTTTTTAGCTTGAGTTGGGCAAAAATGGCAAAAAAATTCAAGACCCACAGGTTGAGATTTACGAAGTAGTCTAGAGGATTAGGCAATTATCTTCCTTCAAAAATAATGGAGGGTAAGTGTCAAAAACCAGAATGATAGATCACTGGGATTTGGGGTTTAATACAGATTTAAAAACAGTATGGCCATCTCAGCTTTAAGCAAATACAAACAACAGCTTACTTGGCTTTCCACTTCACAGTTCATTAACTATAAAGGGCCTAACAATTTGTTTTATGTAAATCAGATCAGGGTACCTGAAAGGTGTGTTACTCTTGTATATTATTGCAGCTCCTTTAGCACAGTTATATGAGTATGCTGACCACATCCATATTATCACTGTTATTACTATGATATAAAAAAAGCTTAACATTTTTTAATGAATTTCAGCAGAGACTGGTTATTTCTTGTTATGTCTGAGAAAAAGCCAGAATAATTTCTTCTGTTCCACCCCTACTTTTTTACAACTAACTCATAATTCAGGTTCAACCCCAGTAAATAAGGAACACACATTTTATTGCAACTGATTGCACCTGGGTATTTTAGAAACACTACATAATGGAAATCTTTCCTGCAGAAAGCTGCATTTGGAGAGGAGTGTCAGTTCACGTTTCAGTGCTCTAAAAAAAAATAGAAAGCTATGTGTGTGTGTGTGTGTATATATATATATATACACACACACACACACACACCACCTACCCTACGACCGTCCGTTCGGTACGTACCGGAACCGGGTACCGGTA